TGTTCTGAAATATCAAACTTTATTCAAATAGTTTATGCTGCTGCACAATTATGCTGATTGTAATCCCTAATGGTCATTTTGCAACAATGGTCTCAGGTGACACAAAAACTATTTCATTAAATTCAATCACATTTCATGTGCCTGTACCAAGTATAAACCCTGTTGTATACTTGTAGTACATGTTGCATGGCCTATAGTTTTTATTTTTAGAATTGTGTATTAAATGCATATGACAGATCTATATAAAATAGATGTGGTACATTTTTGTACATGCAGTGATGTGATGTACATGTACATGAATGATTATCACAGACACAATGAACAAGATATTTCTGCTGAATTTATTCACTACTTTTATAGACACATTAAAGACTAGAGCTTGACATATTGCATAGACAATTGCCTTTCCTTCTATTGAAGCCTTATATATACATGTAGGTTTCATTCTAGATGTCATTTAATTATTTTTTGCTATTTTAGTTGCTGTCGGTCTATTACAAAGCAGGGTTATTATTCACATCACATAAACATATTCTTGTCCCGAATATGCATATTAATTTGCCACTGGACTGTAAGCAGCTATCCATCATCATTATCATCATCATTAACATATATATAAATGTTTCATGTATAGTATCTCTTCTTGTTCATATGTAAACTTTGACCTACTGCTTTATATACATTGTGTAGAATCTGAGAAATGGAATTAACCACAATATATATTAATTTGCACAAAAAAATAACCTTAATCACTGATGGGTAAAATGAGGTTGGGGTCACATGAACACCGTCTTTTGTTTGATTTTATTTTTACCTAATGTATATACCTTAATTTTTTATTTAGATATCTGTAGACTTATAAGTTGAAACAAGAGTGCACACGCTAAAATGTCTCGCCTACTATACTGACCATTGATTTTATGTTGATAGTCCTACTTATAAAGTTTTACTACAAGTATCATATTAACATTTATGATCCAAGAAAATGAGGTCAAGGTCAGATAAACTAAGGCGGAAATACATGTACACCTTTAATACAATCATTCCATACACAGAATATAGATGACCTATTGCTTGTAGTATAAAACAAACAGACCAAACCATGGAAATTCCATATGGACCAATGAACCATGAAAATGAAGTCAAGGTCAGATGATACATGTACCTACCAGACATACATACATGCATACACCTTACAATCATTCCTTACACCAAATATAGTTGACATATTGCTTAAAGTTTAAGAGAAACAGACCAAAACACAAAAACTCAACACTGAGCAATGAACCGTGAAAATTAGGTCAAGGTCAAATAAAACCTGCCAGACTGATATGTACATTGTAAAATATTCCATACACCAAATATAGTTGACCTACTGCATACAGTATTAGAAAAAACAGACCAAAACACAATAAAATGCTCCGCTGGGGTGCAGCTTGATACGACCGCAGAGGTCGAACCCTGAACAGTTCGGGCAAGTATGGACACAAAACATTCAAGCTTGATACAGCACTGAATTTGGATTGTAATTAAATATTTGACACAGCATAGGTTTCTCACACAGACTATGATGAAGTGGTCTAAGAACTTGAAATTTTTTAATTTACCTATTCAAACCATATCATTATTATTTGCTTTTATATATAAATCAGAAATAACCAATTTAAAATGGAAAATTTTAAAGAAAAAAAATGAAAAAAAAATATCCCCCCCAATTTTTTGAACCCCCTTATGATTCAACACACCCAAACTCAATCCCAGCTTTCCCTTTGTGGTATGGTACCTTGCAGTTCAATTTCAGAGAGATCCATACACTTGAACACAAGTTATTGTCTGGAAACTAGAAAAATGCTTGTTTTTAGGCCCCTTTTTGGCCCCAAATTCCTAAACGTTTAGGGCAATTACCCCCAAACTCAAACCCAGCTTTCCTCTTGTGATATGGAACCTTGTAGTACAATTTCATAAAGATCCATACACTTACACACAAGTTATTGTCCTGAAACTAGAAAAATGCTTGTCTTTTTCCCCTTTTTGGCCCCTACTCCCTAAATTTTGAGGCAATTACCCCCAAAATCAATCCCAGCCTTCCCTTTGTGGTATGGTACCTTGCAGTACAATTTCAGAGAGATCCATACACTTGAACACAAGTAATTGTCTGGAAACTAGAAAAATGCTATTTTTGGCCCCTTTTTGGCCCCTTATTCCTAAACGTTTTGAGCAATTACCCCCAAACTCAATTCCAGCTTTCCCTTTGTGATATGGAACCTTGTAGTTCAATTTCAGAAAGATCCATACACTTACACACAAGTTATTATGAAACTAGAAAAATGCTTGTTTTTTGCCCCTTTTTTGGCCCCTAATTCCTAAAATTATGAGGCATTTACCCCCAAAGTCAATTCCAGCATTCCCTTTGTGATATGGAACCTTGTGGTACAATGTCAGAGAGATCCATACACTAACACACAAGTTATGTCTGGAAGTTACAAAAATTCGTAAGGGTTCCGCGGAACCCAGTGTCTCGCCTACTTTTTCTGTTAATCGCAGGCTCTACAAAAATGAGGAAGTAAATCAATAAAAATATTCCACTTGATACTATCTTTTGATTGTAAGAAGCTTCAGTCCAAGTTTGGTAAAAATCCAGGATAGTTTATGAATCTAGTAAATGTTTAAAAACTTTAACTGCAGACTGAATGTAATTTTATCTGGAAGAAAACAAAATTTCCTTCTAGATACTAGCATTTGATCATAAACAAGCTTCTGTCCAAGTTTGATACAAATCCAAAATAGTATAAGAAAGTTATTAAAATTTTAAAAACTTTAACCACAGAGTGAATGTGTTGTTTCCTGGCAGAAAATCTAAGTCCATTTAAAAGTAAAATACGGAACAAACAGATTTATTTTTTTACAAAATTTTCTTCTAGATACTAGCTTTTGATCATAAACAAGCTTCTGTCCAAGTTTGGTACAAATCCAAAATAGAATAAGAAAGTTATTAAAATTTTAAAAACTTTATCCACAGAGTGAATATGTTGTTTCCTGACAGAAAATCTAAGTCCATTTAAAAGTAAAATAAGGAAAAAATGGATTTTTTTTTTTTTTAAATTTACTTCTGGATACTATCTTATGATCATATACAAGCTTCTGTCCAAGTTTGGTAGAAACCCAGCATAGTTTGAGAAAGTTATTAAAATTTTAAAAACTTTAACCACAGAGTGAATGTAATATTTCCTGGCAGAAAAACTAAGTCCATTTATAAGTAAAATACGGAAAAAATGGAATTTTATTTTTACAAAATTTACTTCTGGATACTATCTTATGATCATAAACAAGCTTCTGTCCAAGTTTGGTAGAAATTCAGGATAGTTTAAGAAAGTTATTAAAATTTCAAAAACTTTAACCACAGAGTGAGTATTTGTGGACGCCGCCGACGACAAAGACGACGACGACGCCGACGGAATGTAGGATCGCTATGTCTCGCTTTTTCGACTAAAGTCGAAGGCTCGACAAAAATGCTTATTTTTCGCCCCTTTTTGGCCCCTAATTCCTTAACTGTTGGTACCATAACCCCCAAAATCAATCCCAACCTTTCTTTTGTGGTATTGAACCTTATGGTAAAATTTCATGGAGATCCATTCACTTAAACTAAAGTTAGAGTGCGAAAACCAATGTGTCTTCGGACAACGACGACGACGCCAACGTCATACCAATATACGACCAAAACATTTTAAATTTTTGCAGTCGTATAAGAACTTAACTAGTACCACTAAACCATGAAAATGAGGTCTCAGATGACACCTGCCAGCTGGACATGTACACCATACAATCATTACATACATGTACGCCAAATATAGTAGACCTATTGCTTATAGTATCTGAGATATGGACTTGACCATGAAAACTTAACCTTATTCACTGATCCATGAAACGAGGTCGAGGTCAAATGAAAACTGTCTGACAGGCATAAGGACCTTGCAAGGTACGAAAATACCAAATATAGTTATCCAATTACTCATAATAAGAGAGAAATTAACATTACAAAAAATTTGAACTTTTTTTCCAAGTAGTCACTGAACCATGAAAATGAGGTCAATGACAATAGACATATGACGGAAACTTTATATCATAAGGCATCTATATACAAAGTATGAAGCATCCAGATCTTCTACCTTCTGCAATATTAAGCTTTTAAGAAGTGAGTTAACGCCGCCGCATCACTATCCCTAATTACACAAAATTTAGATTATTTTTTAACTTTTGTGATAAAATGGTGATATACATGTATGTGCTCAGTTGATACAACATTTTACAATTTTCATGCATCTTGGGACTCGCAAGTTTTGAAAATGATGAGTCCAGACTGATTATGATGAGTCCAGGACTCGCCTTAGTGAGAACACGGTGCTCGACAAAAAATTGAGAGACATGTTGAACCACCTCTGACAACACATGTAAACCTTTGATCCCATACATGTATACCAAATATAGTTATCGTATTACTTATAATATGCCACAAATTCACTTGATAAAATCACTACACATGTAGTTTTTTAAGGAGCACTGAACAATGAAAATGGAATAAGGACAATGGACATATGTCTTGACAGAAACTTCTAAACATAAGGATTCTTTATACATTATCATGATTATGATTTTAAGTATGACAAATCCATGATTTCTACCCTCTGAAATATAAAACTTCATATAAATAGTAAATGTTGTTGTCCGATTAGCATTTCATGTCTTGCATGTCTTGTATTCTGAAACTTTTGTCACAGACAGGACATAACTGGAGACCTTGGAGGAATTAAGCCTACTTATACATGTTATAAGCCTCATGGTGATAGTCAGTAATTTATCTGGAGGAAAATGAACAAGGAAGATACAAAAAGTGAAGGTAGTCTTCAGTTCCAGAACAGACAAAGTTGTCAGAAATTTTTTTTTTTATTATCTGGTTTATCCGTTCAAATAAAGACAGAAGAAATCTATCTATTACTAAAATATAACTGTTCTGAACTGCATTTTATTTAATGAACATATAGCACTGTCAACATGTACAATGTACCTGACAACAACCAAGCAACAATCTTTTAGTTCACAAGTACAACAGCTTGATCCATATGTGATCCAAAATGTGCAGAATGCTATTATGGTGGGAGGTTCAAATTCACTTTATAATTCTCTACTTTGAATATTATATCCTATATCACCTTCATTGCTGGTGATCATCGTGTTATGTACATGTAGAACTTATTTTTAAACTTCTATTGGAAACCAGATTGGTCAAATATGTCTTCATAACGAGTTGAAAATATGGAATGTCTTGGACTAGGTACCGTGGCTTCCAAAGATTTAAAGATTGTCTGATGGTCTTAAATCTGTATTGTATATGACTGTTACATGTATAAATGAAAAAGGCTTTTATATCTTTGCTTTTGTACAGACATCATTGACATTTATATTAGCAAACAATTTGCATTTCCTGGCATATCTATTTGTTTGGCGGCTGAACATTTCCAAATGCATGTTTCATGTTTTTCACATCCCTTTTAGTTTTCTGATGAAAATGCTGTTGCTTCCAGTTGATACAGATTCTATAGCTGAGCCTGTGTCTGGCCATTTCTTTATGTCTAGCATGTGTGTGAATTATTCACAGTGACTCTCAATTTCATTTCCCCAAACTTTCTGTGTCTGATTCCTTTCAATGAAGCTATATAGACCAGGGAAGAATGTCTGCTCCTGAAATATCAATTTAAATATATTTATGGAATATTCTGATTTCAAAACAATGCTGACTCCATTATAAAGCTTATTTAAGATTATTTAACATCCGTTTCAGAGGAACTCATTTAATTTTTTTCTTTAATAATTATTACTATCTTTTCCAGACTAAAAGATGAAGAAACTAGAGGCTCTAAAGAGCCTGTGTCGCTCACCTTGGTATATGTGCATATTAAACAAAGGACAAAGACGGATTCATGACAAAATTGTGTTTTGGTGATGGTGATGTGTTTGTAGATCTTACTTTACTGAACATTCTTGCTGCTTACAATTATCTCTATCTATAATGAACTTGGCCCAGTAGTTACAGTGGAAAATATTTTGTAAAAATTTACAAAAATTTACAAAATTTATGAAAAAATTGTAAAACATTGACTATAAAGGGCAATAACTCCTTAAGGGGTCAATTGACAATTTTGGTCATGTTGACTTATTTGTAGATCTTACTTTGCTGTACATTATTGCTGTTTACAGTTTATCTCTATCTATAATAATATTCAAGATAATAACCAAAAGCTGCAAAATTTTCTTAAAATTACCAATTCAGGGGCAGCAACCCAACAACGTGTTGCCTGATTGGTCTGAACATTTCAGGGCAGATAGATCTTGACCTGATAATCAGTTATACCCTATGTCAGATTTACTCTAAATGCTTTGGTTTCAGAGATATAAGCCAAAATCTACATTTTACCCCTATGTTCTATTTTTAGCCATGTCGGCCATCTTGGTTCGCGGGCGGGGTCATCGGACACATTTTTTAAACTATATACCCTAATGATGATTGTGTAAAAGTTTGGTTAAATTTGTCTTAGTAGTTTCTGAGGAGAAGATTTTTGTAAAAGATTACAAAAATTTACGAAAAATGGTTAAAAATTGACTATAAAGGGCAATAACTCCTTAAGGGGTCAACTGACCATTTTGGTCAAGTTGACTTAATTGTAGATCTTACTTTGATGAACATTATTGCTGTTTACAGTTTATCTCTATCTATAATAATATTCAAGATAATAACCAAAAACGACAAAATTTCATTAAAATTACCAATTTAGGGGCAGCAACCAAACAACGATTTGCCTGATTGGTCTGAAAATTTCAGGGCAGATAGATCTTGACCTGATAAACAATTTTACCCCCATGTCAGATTTGCTCTAAATGCTCTGGTTTCAGAGATATGAGCCAAAAACTGCATTTTACCCTATGTACTATTTTTTAGCCATGTCGGCCATCTTGGTTGGTTGGCGGGGTCATCGGACACATTTTTAAAACTAGATACCCTAATGATGATTGTGGACAAGTTTGGTTAAATTTGTCTAAGTAGTTTCAGAGGAGAAGATTTTTGTAAAAGATAACAAAAATTTACGAAAAATGGTTAAAAATTGACTATAAAGGGCAATAACTCCTTAAGGGGTCAACTGACCATTTTGGTCAAGTTGACTTATTTGTAGATCTTACTTTGCTGAACATTATTGCTGTTTACAGTTTATCTCTATCTATAATAATATTCAAGATAATAACCAAAAACAGCAAAATTTCCTTAAAATTACCAATTCAGGGGCAGCAACCCAACAACATTTGTCCGATTCATCTGAAAATTTAAAGCAGATAGATCTTGACCTGATAAACAATTTTACCCCATGTCAGATTTGCTCTAAATGCTTTGGTTTCGGAGATATAAGCCAAAATCTACATTTTACCCCTATGTTCTATTTTTAGCCATGGCGACCATCTTGGTAGGTTGGCGGGGTCATCGGACACATTTTTTAAACTAGATACTTGAATGATGATTGTGTTTAAGTTTGGGTGCATTTGGCCCAGTAGTTTCAGAGGAGAAGATTTTTGTAAAAGTTTACGGACGACGGACGACGGACGCAGGACGACGGACGACGGACGCAAAGTGATGAGAAAAGCTCACTTGACCTTTCAGGTCAGGTGAGCTAAAAATGTACATGCATGTTTGTTTAGGGTTTCCCTACCTACATGTACATACCCTGTTACTTAATACTAGTGTTTATTCAAACACATTTTAATTGATATGTTCCTCTGGTTAATGACAGAATGTTTTATTGTCCTTAAATAAATGTTACTTACAGATATACATGTAGGTTATCTAAAAGTAAATTTATAAATTGACACTGTGAATCCATTTCTAGGATCCACATCTTCTTATCTTTGAACATTTTTTGGGGAAATAAAAACACTGGCCCTTGAGTAATCCTTTTTGGGATTAGTCCTTGAGGTGTGGATTCCCTAATCAAATTTGTACGTACATGTATTTATTATCAGAATCTGTACACAAATCTTTAAACTTGTATTTCATTTCATTTCACATTTTTTACTTTTTGTTTAGCATCATCATTTCCAGACATTAATCTTATAAGATACCTATTGATTTTGTTTGATGGTTGGTTGTTTTCTGAACAATTTAACATACATGTATGTACTATGATAGAGATTACCTCGTCTGTCTTGTTCTTCTATATATTGATCAAGTATATGTATTGGACATGTTGAATTTAAAGATAGAGTATTCTATCAGTCAAGAGCATAATTACTTAATCAAGTCTTCAAAATTATTTATACTAGTAATGTTACAAATGAAAACAAAGCAGTGGCGGACCCAGAAATTTTCTTCATAATGGGGACCTGTACAGCCATGCTTCAGTGATTCCCTATATAAACAACCAAATTTTTCCAAAAAAGGGGGCCTGAGCCCCTTGAGCTCCCCCTCTAAATCCGCCTCTGCAAAGTTACTCAATCATGTAGTTAAAGCTAAATATTTGAGTATGAAAGACTACAATAAATGGGGAATGTGTCCATAGGACACAGATGATGCCCACTCTTGCAGATCATATAAAGTTATAAAACGACATAACTGAAGAACGGTAAAAGTGATGCTACCCAAATTTGTGCTTGATCTGAGTTTTTTTGGTAATAAGTATTGTGTATAAGTTTCATAACATTTGGTTGAGGCAAACTAAAGTTAGAGAATGGAAACGAAAAATTCAGCAATTTTACCATTTGTTCTGGAACGGTTAAAGTAACACTTTTTGCCTCTTTCACCTGATTTTTATAGTTCGTTCTTATATTGTACTGTTACACCACTGTCCCAGGTTAGGGGGAGGGTTGGGATCCCGATAACATGTTTAACCCTGCCACATTCTGTATGTATGTGCCTGTAATTCAGTGGTTGTCGTTTGTTTATGTGTTACAGACTTGTTATTTGTTCATTTTTTTTGTTCATAAATTAGGCCGTTAGTTTTTCTCGTTTGATTGTTTTACATTGTCATTTCGGGGCCTTTTATAGCTGACTGTGCGATATGGGCTTTGCTCATTGTTGAAGGCTGTACGGTGACCTATAGTTGTTAATTTCTGTGTCATTTGGTCTCTTGTGGAGAGTTGTCTCATTGGCAATCATACCACATCTTCTTTTTTATATGTACATAAACAGGATGAAGTTATTTTTCTCACAAAGCATTAAGCTAATATTTAATGAACACTGAAACACTAATTGCCATTCTGACCCACTGTAGCCGAGTCCAAGAATAGTGAACAATTAATTTCTTTCTTGGCAGAAAATTTCCCCTAACAATTATCTGGAGCACCACATGATATTGATATCAACATGTATCAGTGTGTGAAGACTTGCAATGTATTTTCTGGGATATTGTCATGTTTTTTTTTAAAGTACACTGTGAATCCTCCACAAATATTTTTTTTAATAAACACTCGAGAAGTTGCCCAATGATAGAAAAATGTCAACCTTTAATAATACTCTATACACCTTATCGCTATTTAGTCCAATCCGGAAAAAACAGTCATTTAGACAACTTCCTGTTTGGGTCAACAGGCCGCAAACAAAGGTCATCAGTAACGAGCTGAGGGAGGGAAAAATTTAGAAAGCGATCAATAGGAAACTTTGATAGATTATGATCCACTTTTTCTAAACTCAAATTAAAGTCAAAAAAATATTGTGTTTGAAGTATTTACGATGTTTTAAACAGGTCTCATTAAAAAGTATCATGCATGGTGCATTGTTTAAACAGGGTCCCAGATAGCGTCAACTGGATGAAAAAGTTGTGTAATTTTAGAACTTATCCGGAATGGAATAAATAGCGATTAGGTGTATTTTCGAGAATTTACCTTTGAATGCAGACTTGATTATCGGGTAGCAGATATCTGGTATGTAAACTCTTTCCATAGCCCGTTTGAAGCATGTTGGAAGCCTGACCATGCAATCTTTGATTTGCAAAATTTTTCTCTTCTCAAATTTCAATTCTTTCACTTTGTACCAGAGACATATAATACAAGAGATTCGCAACTCGGCGAAATCCCGTAATAACACGCGGCCACTAGTTAAACCTCGCGAGATCTCCTTAGGTAATAAAGTCATTAATAAAAGTATTAAAAGTACTCGAAGTAAGGACGAATGTTTAAGCATAACATAAACTGTTTCAGTGTTAAATTTATCATAATTAATTAAATATAATTTGAGTACATATATAATTATTTTTTTAATGTAATTTTGATTTTAGATTTGTATTATTGAAAAAGAGACATAATTTGATATTGTATAAACAAAATCTGATATTAAATAATTAACACATGATAAATTGTGTCAGAGTTCATTTTATTTGATAGTTACATAATGGGTTTCTATTGAATATACACCTGTCTCGGAGACATAATTTCACAGTGTGACATGTATATTAGGTTTGAATTATTCGATGACCAGGTAAATCACGAACATGTTATTAATAATGAGTTTTAATTGACACCTTGTAAACAAGAAGTTGTCACACCATAGGTGTCCACACTCTTTCCAAAAATACAAGTCACAAAATGTATAATTAATTAATATGGAAAAAAACTTAATTTATTTGTTAATTAATTGTTAATCATGATAGGCTTTGTTTTTTATTCTTGATATTTATAAATTATTAAAATTTTATTTATTTTTATATTCCTCAGTTATTGGGCTTTCATTGAGTTTTTTTTCTGTAGGATTGTCGGTAAATGTTTGATTTCAAAGTGTTGTTTGACAGTTTTATCATATAGGCTTGCACTGAGTTGTTTTTCTAAATGGTTATCGGTAAATTTATGGTTTCTTCATGTTCGAAGTGTGTATTGAGAATTAATATTAAAGAAAATTACAATTAATTTCTCATTTGAATAAAGCTTCATTCATGTGCACGCAATATGGAAAATTCCGATTTCATTTTGTGGGATGACAATCTTAATTTCGTGGGATGACAATCTTAATAGTTACGACTTAGATATACTCCTAGTTGAATAAACTGATAACGAACTCTTTGTTGATAGTGAAGAGGACGAAACCCACCAACAAAAACAATTGACAATACTGCATACATAGATGGATATGTGTGTCCTCGAGGCAACAAAAAATCTATAAAAAAACACAGGTCATACATCAAAGCAACACGGAAGACACTATTTAAAAAGTATTTTATAACCGTGTTTCCACGAGACAATCATTTGTAGTGGTTTTTGTCTTTTAATCATTTGTAGCGGTTTTTGTCTTTTTATTCTGGGGTAAAGAGATGGCAATTTAAAAGTAAGATTGTTTATGTGTATACATATACAAATCCTTGGTGTAAATAAAATCTTTTATTATCAAATATATAAATATATATATATATATATATATATATATCTTTTGCAGTCACCATTGAAATGTCCTCAATACGATTGTAATTTAAAAATGAATTAGGTTCATGTTTTGAACGAGAAGCGTAGTCTGAAACGACAACAGATGCATATGAAGCTCATTCATAATATTACGACCAGCAGAAGGTTTCCTTTACTAGGAAAATTTTACTCCTTTTGTAAATTTACTGCATTCGTTCATCTTTGGCACCCTAAAAAGAAGAAAAAACAACGACTTCAGAATAGGAGAAAATAAACAACTTTGCTATAAACAGAATGAAAAATGAATAACAAAATGCAGGTTATAAATTTCATAGTGCACAAAAAAGAAGGACTGATTTAAGGAAATTTGTCCATGAACAATTTCAATATTTAGCCAGTTTAATAAAAAATTTCGGGTATCAATCAGAAAAAATAGCCACATTGTTGGATCAAATTTTACGAAAATAGTCTTATTTTCACGAAACAACATTTGGGAGTACTATTGGCCCATAAAATTATATATTTATTAGCATATTTTCAAGTTTTACGAAAAAAATTGGGAGATCAAATGGTTTCTACGGCAATAGGTGAAGTAAAATGGGCCGAGTTTTAACTTTGTTTGTATTTGATTAATCTCATCATGAGAACATATTTTATCAATAACAAATTATTAGAATTAGTTTTTTGTAACTTTTAAATATACTTGCATGCTTTAGCTGTGAAAGGTATCGGCATTATCCATTAGAAAAATCGTGAGGCGTAGAACCTTATACACAACAATACGGGTTATTACCCATAAATCCATCAGATTAATCGGCTTTCCGGTGGCCACGTCATTTCATTGGCTGTTATATAGACTCTACTAGAGTTGCGAATCTCTTGTATTATAAGGCAAAATTTCAGTTAATGCATTATGTTGTTTTTCCATTTCTACGTCGCCATCTTCAACATGTTCCTAGGTCGCGTTTATAAGGAGCATTTGTAACAGTAAATTTGGTCCGGTAGTAAAATTTGTCCGCCAGACCTTTTTCCCTAGTTAATCAAGTCCATGACCATTATTTTACTAGGAATTTAAGTCCCAGGACAAATTTTCCTAGGAAAATAAGTCCATAGCTAGTAAAATATGTCTGGCACTTATTTTCCTAGGAAAAATTGTCCTAAGACTTGTTTTTCTATTAATTTTTATTATATTTTAAAAATTATTGAAAATAAAAAAAACATTTTTCTTAGTTAAGATTGAAAAGTTTCATTAATTTTTCCTATTAAAATAAAAGGACACTGCCGGACGTTATAACCTAGGCATGTTAATGACATGGACATGATGTCCTAGGAAAATTATTCTGGGGACATAAATTTTTTAAAAATATTAATACACAACTCTAAAACAATATTAAAACATAACATTTAAATTTAACTTTCAAAATAAAGGGAATGGACGTTTTTACCTAGGAATATTAATGACATGGACATGATTTCCTAGGAAAATTAGTCTGGTGACATGAATTTTATTAAAATATTAATGCACAACTCTTAAACAATATTAAAATATAAAAATTGAATTTCCATTGTTAACATGTAAATAATTTGTTTCATTAAAATTTTCCTTTTAAAATAAATGGCATGGACGTTTTTACCTAGGAATATTAATGACATTGACATGATTTCCTAGGAAAATTAGTCTGGAGACAAACATTATATCAGAGCTCCAGATAAGCTGCGTATTTGCGTGATCACGCAATACAAATAATTAAAAACCCAATGCATTTGCCCATTGCAGGGTTCAATAACCCAATTAATTCAAAGGAAAACCCAATAATATGCCAAAACCATGAGTTCTTAACTCTTTTATTCGCTATCGTTTGCGTTATTTACCCTTATCTGATTACAGTCGTCGCGTAAATCTATTTTTATAATATTTATAATTGGAAATGTCCTTTCGTTCTTTTAAAATAGAGCCCTGCATCAAGTAGCTGTAATGGGTCCCTGTTGGAATTTTCCGTTGCTCAAAAGGTACACGTGTTTATGAAAACATTTCGATCTGCTCGGCGTTTATCCAATTAGCGTGTGACATGCTGTCAAATTTTTCGAATTGCTCGGGATTTATCATAACATACAATGAATTAAAACGAAAGTAAATGTCCGATAAAAATATTGAATAGAAGCATGTTTTCGGCTTCTTTTTGATAGCTGAGGGAAAGTTATGATGATAACAAGACTCAGCTAGTGATTTTAGGAAGCGTCCATTGAACGCACGGGCGTGCTTGCGTACCTTAACGAGAACATTGCTATAGAACGATAAACACGGGGTTTCGTCAAAAACGAAATCAGTTGGAAAGCATCGGAAACCAAAAGTTCTGATAAGGGACAACTTAACCCAGATATATGTAAATTGAATTAAACAAAAACAGTTTATATATTATTTTTTTCACTTAAGTTGATAAAGGAATACACATATCCGTTTTTTACGTCAAATTATACATCTTCACACTTTCTTTGTTTTGGTCTAATTGTTCTGGATGCTTAAGATAGTTGTCTTATTGGCAAGTGCAGTATAACATTGTCATTTATTTACTTGATGTTGCAGAATTATTTGTAAATTTGTAAAATGTGGCCTCCATCATTAAACCACCCTATAAATCTCAAGGTTTTGGGGTATATCTTAAATCTGGGAACTACTTTTTATTTTTTATTAAAAAGTATATCTGGCAAATAGGTGAAAAGACTTGCAAAACTTTCTTACAACACCTAAATTTCACATATATTACATAAAAATCTAAACACTTAGTAACACCTACCCCAACTATAAACTGTAGGGTGATCATATGGGATCTAGAAAGGCAGTTAGTTACTGTCCAACTAGTGACACCAGCTGCAGTTTACATAAGTTTTGAGAAAATACAAAACTGACAGAACGTTTAAAACGGGACACAAATTAAACGTACAATTGCTCGTCAGTGAATAAACCAAATAAAACAGCTAAGCACATATACAAAGAAAGAAACACATTTAAGATGGAAACACATCTGGGGTTGATATAATGTGATTATAACATGCCTAAATATTCAATATTGTGTTGATGAAAAAACCCAATACATTAAGGAGCTTGGTGGTGAAAATCCAATTTGATATTTGCTTGAGGGGTGAATTGGAATTGATAATGCAATTAAAAAACTTTATCACCCAATTACATAAAAAAATGGTGGGTAAAAACCCCAATTTGTGAATTCTTATCTGGAGCTCTGTTATATTAAAAAAATTGATACACAACTCTTAAACAATATTAAAACATAACATTTATATTTACCTTTTAAAATAAAGGACATGGACGTTTTTACCTAGGAATAGCAATGACATGAACATGATTTCCTAGGAAAATTAGTCTGGGGACATGAATTTTATTAAAAATATAAATGCACAACTCTTAAACAATATTAAAACTTAATATTTAAATTTCCAATATTGTTTAAATGTAAATGATTTGATTCATTAATATTTTTCCTATAAAAAAAAAGAACATGGACGTTTTTACCTAGGAATATTAATGACATGGACTTGAATTCCTAGGAAAATTAGTCTGGGGACATAAATTACTAACATCGGACTAAAAATACTAGTAAATTCTGTAACCATGGACTT